TTCATAAGATGGAAGTTAAAATGTTTGATTTAAAACCACTTTTCTTTTGCAAGGTGGGAACTTAGTTGCTATAAATTGCCTTGTAAGCATTATATTCATATTACATGTATTTTGATATGTTGTGTTTATATTTTCACTCACTTCAAGATGCTTTCTGATTTCCTTTTTTATTTCATCTTCTTTTATTTTAGAGTTTTAATATTTTTGTGGTAATTTTCTTGATATTACCTACACATCATAAAAATCACACATTTAAATTGCAAAATTTAGTGGTTTTTACTTTATTCACAGAGTTTTACAACCATAACCACAATCGATTTTAGAGCATGTTCATCATTCCCCAAAGATGCTCATACCCTCAGGCACCACCCCTCTACTTCCACACCCTCAGACCTATGCAACCACCAATCTGCTTCATATCTCCAGGTATTTGAATGTTCTGGATATTTCATATAATGGAGTAAGGTAATATGTGATCTTTTGTCATCGACTTTTCTTACTTTACATAAGGCTTACAATTTCATCCATTTTGTAACTTATAAAGGCACTTTATTGTTTCTTCTTTGTTGAATAATATTCCATTGTATGGATATAGACATATCCCATTTTTCAGTTGATGTTCAATTTAGATTTTTCTACTTCTTGGCTATTATGGATAATGGTGCAATGAAGATTCATACACAAGATTTTGTGTGGCTAGACGTTCTCTTAGGTGTGTACCTAGGAAAGAAATTGCTGGGTTATATGGCAATTCTGTTTTTACATTTTTGAGGAACTGCCAGGTTGATTTCCTAAGGGGCTTCATCATTTGATATTCGAACCAGCAGTTTATGAGCTTTCAATTTCTTCACATCTTCATCAACACTTAATATTATCTGCTTTTTTTTTAAATTGTAGTCATCCTAGTGTGTGTGAGGTGATATTTTGTTGTGGTTTTCATCTGTATTTCTCTGCTTACTAATGATATTGAACATCTTTTCATGTGCTTATTGGCCATTTGCATACATTCTTTGGAAAAATGTCTATTCAAATAATTTGATCATTAAAAATGGATTACTTGTCATTTTATTATTTAGCTGACAAGCAGTTTATGCATTTTTGATACATGATCCTTATCAAGTAGATGATTTGTACATATTTCTCTCATCCTGTGAGATTTTTTTTTACTTTCTTGATGGTGTCCTTTGGAGGCACTCCTTATTTTTAGCAGTTTGAACATTTAGGGAGTCTTTTATTTTTGACTAATAAGGGAACCCTCTCTATTAAGTATAGCGTGATGCCCTTTTCCCTTCACTTTATCTAAGCAGTCTGTGTATAAATATTTACTTACCTATGAATTTTTTCATTTAAATTTATTTAAGACAGTTGAGTGCTAAGATAAGTGAGTAGATTTAAAGCTCAAGAGAGTAAATTCACTTAAAAATAACAAATATATTCTATAGCTAAGTTGAACAGGCACAATTTCCTATTACAAAGATCTTTCACAAGCTTTTTGCTTGTGGCAGCGTGTTGATGTCTTACCCAATACATGTCCTCTCCTTTATAATGTCAAAAACTTCCTTTCATGATAGTGGCTGAAAATGGAAGATAGCCATTTTGACACTATTCCTTGAAACCAGATCATCCATGTGGCATAGTCTTAACTAAAGGGAAGTAATCTATTGGCTTTTGGAGAAGATTTGCTTTATGATATAAAGAGAGAGATATATGAGCGAGTTCTTTTGATTTGTTCTCTTGCATTCTTCTTTAGATATAGTTGTGCTTAGATGTGATTCTTAAAGCTATGGCAGTCATTTTGTGACCCTGAGATGAACAACTGGAGGACTAAGGACAACAATCTGTAGACAGTGAAAGGAAAGACTCTGGATCTTTGAGAGTGTTTAGTTGTTTGCCCAACCCCAGAACACTGTACCTCCATATTTATTATTATTTGAGAAAAATAAGTGACTATTGTAAATAAGTTTTTAAGTGAGAATTCTGTAACTCAAAGCATGGAACTTTCTCATTGATAACATGGGTTAATAGTTACATTCCTGAGCTATTAAGTAGAAAGTATATTATTTTAACAGATGAATATCTTGAGAAATATTCTTGCAAATTTTCAGTAAACACTGAAGAGAAAATTTGTAACATTATGATAGAAAGGAGAATATGTGCAGATTTAAACTTAAATTTTAAATATATTATTTTGTTCACTTGGCTAATGTTTTCTGTTCCTTATACTCTTCTGGTCTCTTAAATGTTAACATTATCCAACATTCTCTCTCTTTTTATTTTTAAAGATTGGCACTTGAGCTAACACCTGTTGCCAATCTTACTTTTTTTCTTCTCCCCCGAGCCCTGCAGTACATAGTTGTATATTCTAGTTGTAGATCCTCCTGGCTCAGCTATATAGGATGCTGCCTCAGCATGGCTTGATGAACCATGCTAGGTCCGCACCCAGGGTCCGAACCAGTGAAACTCTGGGCAGCAAAGTGGAGTGTATGAACTTAACCACTTGGCCATCAGGCTGGCCTCAACGTTCTCTTTTTTATATTTGCTGAGAAAAGTGAGAGTTTGCACAATACTTAATGTGCTCAAAACAGATAAATCAATCAGAATAGTACTTACATAATTTTTATAAGATTTACCTCTCACTTAATTTCTTCTTTAATGTTATCCAAAACTTAATAGAGCAATTTTGATTCCTATACTTTTATACAACGTTTCAATTGTCCCATGGGTAATTGAGAGCCACTGAAAGTTCTTAAACTAGGAAGGGACAGATCTGGGTGTTCAGAACTTATTCTAGCAAGGAACGTATATGGCCAAATAAGAATGAGTATGTGGAAAGAAGCTAGAATAATAGTTGGAGCTAGTACAATTCATGAGTTCAGTTCAATTAAAATCTTAAAAGTACCTGAATGTGTGCAGTGGCTGAGGAAAATGGATGGAAATTGGTGTGGCTGCAGACTCTAAAGCTTATCATGAAAGAAATGTGGAAAACATTCTAAAGGTTTTCACCCAGAGCAACATATTTAGAGAATTATTTATGGAGTGCCTACTACGTACTTGGCATTATATGTAGCACAGCAAGAAAGGTAGTAAACAAGTGAGAAGAGATATTCGTCCTTATAGGAGTTATAGTTTATGGAGAAACACAGGAATTAAAGGGGAAAAGTGGTCTGATGAGTGTTACAACAGCGGGTCTATGGGAAATTTTGAGAACATAAATAATCTCAGTTGACATTGATTGACTATTTACCACATGCCAGGTATTGTTCTCACCATATTACATACATTTTTTTCATTTAATCGTCAAAAGAACCCAATGAAAGAGATGCTGTGTTTATCATCATTATTTTAGAAATTATGAATATGAGGCATAGAGAGTTTATGTGTCCAAGTTAGTAGGCATGGAGTAGGATTCAACACATTCCTTCTAACTCCATAGACCCTATTCTTTTCTAGGATGAAGAGGAATTGATGACCTCAGTTAATGAAATATTACATTTAAGGACTCAGCAGGATCCTCAGGTAGAAATTTCTCCTAGATGTTTAGAAGTAAAAATTTTATAAGGGAAAATGGTATTATTATTTTTTTCTTCTTTTGGAGATAACCCAGGAAAGACAACAATTGAATTAAGTTACTAAAATTTTTTAAAATTTCAAGTAAAGAAATGAAGAATCCTGTAGGAAGACTCTGGAAAATTTTCCTTTAGAATATGAGAAGGAACAGAGAAGGAAACCCTATAATAGATCTTCCTTAAGACATGAAGATGATAAGAATATGAGAGTTTATTTTTGTCTCTGCCTTACGGGATGTACAATCCCTAGAGTGAAGTGTAAACTAGATGAAAATATTGAGTCCCTAAAGAGCTAAAGAGAGATGATGATCCAGAGTGTAAATATAATTCCTTTATTTATTTTTTACACATAGGATCTATTACCTGGGGAAGAGAATGAGCAAGCTTATAATCTGTTTATAATCAAGTGAACTGTATCATTAAACTCAAATTCAATCTTCTGTGTCTTATCAAGCAGCAAATGTGATAAGACTGTTTATTTTTTTCTGCTGCTTGAGAGGGATTAAAGTCACAATCAGAAATTGTGATTTTTAGTTCAGAAAGATTTCCAGGGCATATATGAAATTAAATCTGGGCTACATCCTTTTAGAATCAAAGGAAGAAAAGCCTCATAAACTGAAATTGCCTTTCTAGGACCACCAAGGATAAGAGAGTACTGAGGTTTTCTGGCCTAAGAAAGGTGAGCTTCTGAATTCTATTTATATTAATGGCCTTCTTGTTTTGAGATGGAAGTCCGGGAATATAAGATCTGCCAATTTTTTTCCATTTTTTGCAGTCCTGAAATTCAAGTGAAATTGCCAGGACAATGAGTTCAACGGTGATCAGAGAATGTTCAGAGATTAGGAGTCTCAGAAAGTGCATTATCCCAGTCAGTGAGTTCCCTCTCCATGGATGGAACTCTCTTCTAGATTTATGGCTTTTACTCTGTGACTTGGGCAGTCGCATAACTTCTCCTACACTTTGCTTCCTTAGATTTTGATTAGAAACGATCTTTTTGTTTATCACCTCACCAAGTCGACTCTGCCTTAGAGGCCAGCACCAGTTGCTAAAGTAGGTGCCCCCAATTTTACTGATGGGGAGAACTTAAGCTAATGAAGAAATGGTGAGATGAGAGAAGGAGGATTCTGTCCTGATCCACCCTTCTTCTATCTTGGTTTTTCTAACAGTCATGATTGTATATGGCATCACTGACCTCTCCATAGGCTGTTTGTGATGCCCTTTGCTATATTTAGCTTATTAAGACTCCAGTAAGGGAAAGTTTAAATCACTCAGTGTCATGATAATAGCAAAGGCAGATTCTATGGGTCCAGACTGGGCTAGTCTTGGGCATTTCATGTGTATACACTTTCTTATCAGATGAGACATTGCAGAAGAGCTGAGTTGTTCTCTAAAGTAACCCTTTCCTCCTGTGCCCTCAGATTCTCTTAGAAAAGAATGGCTTCTGGAAACTGTTCCTTCGTGACTGAATTTATCCTGCTGGGGTTAACAGACCAACCAGATCTCCAACTCCCCCTGTTCTTCCTGTTTCTAGTAATGTATATGGTCACTGTGTTGGGAAATTTGGGCTTGATAACTCTAACTGGGCTAAATTCACGCTTACACACCCCCATGTACTTTTTCCTCCTTAACCTGTCCTTCGTAGACTTCTGCTATTCCTCAGTATTTACACCAAAAATGCTGATGGATTTCTTATCAAAGAAGAATATTATCTCCTATCTGGGGTGTATGAGCTAACTCTTCTTTTTCTGTTTTTTTGCCATTTCTGAAGGTTATGTGCTGACATCAATGGCCTATGATCGCTATGTGGCTATCTGTAATCCACTTTTGTATAATATTGCCATGTCCCCTAAAGTGTGTTCCAGCCTTATGCTTGGTTCATACTTGATGGCATTTTCTGGTGCCACAGCCCACACCGGATGCATGCTGAGACTGACCTTCTGTGATGCAAATACTATTAACCATTATTTCTGTGACATCCTCCCAGTTCTCCAGCTCTCCTGCACCAGCACCTACGTCAATGAGCTGGTAGTATTTATTGTGGTGGGCATCAACATCATTGTGCCCAGTCTCACCATCTTTGTCTCTTATGGTTTCATCCTCTCCACCATCCTCCACATCAGCTCCATGGAGGGCAGGTCCAAAGCCTTCAGCACCTGCAGTTCCCACATAATTGCTGTTTCTCTCTTTTTTGGATCATGCGCATTTATGTATCTCAAACCATCTTCTGCTATGTCTATGGATGAGGGAAAAATCTCTTCTGTTTTTTACACCAATGTGGTTCCTATGGCAAATCCTTTAATATACAGTTTGAGGAACAAAGATGTTAAAATTGCTCTGAGAAAAATCCTGAGGAAGAGAACATTTTGATTAGAATCAGTGTCTCTATGTGTAGGTAATCTTAGGACAAGGAGATTCTGTGTTTATTACAATATTTTTATTGTTAGCCTTTTAATCCTATTTCTTCCTCACCATGGCAGAGGAAATTTGACTTTTCTCTCAATTTGTTTTCAATTTATTCTAGACTAAGTCTTCCTTTCATCACCATATTTTCAATTTCTTTTCCTTTTCCTCATATTTCCTATTTAAGAATAAAATTAAGGAAGAAATTTGTCTCTGTTTTCTTTCTGTTGTCATTATGGACTTTCTTCTTTTCTCTTGGCAAAAGATGGATGGTTGTACTAATGATTAATAAAATAACACTAGTGTGTCCTTGTGCATTGGAGAATTTCTTAATTACCACTTGTAATATGCTATTGGAGGCATGAATCAGATAATCTGTCCCTATTCTTTTCTTTTGACTCTGCAGTGGGAAGGAATATGGCTTGTTCAAATGACAGTGTTTCACAGATGTAGCAGATTCTATAATGACTATCAAATATATCCCACTTTGCAGCTAACATTAAGCTATGCATTAAGCTTCTTTTCTGTACCTCAGAGGTTTCATATTTACCTTTTTACACTCAAGGTAGCACATAGTAGATTGTCAGTATATATTTATTACAAGAATAAAATACTGAAACTCAGAGTGGTTAATGATTTATGTAAAGTCACAAAGCTTCTTTATGAAGAAGTCTAGAATAGATGATTAGCCTTCTGACTTCAAGTTTACTACTCTTTGTGGTATACTGTCTACTTAATTTTATTTTTATTTTAGTTAACATGAAATATGAGAAAACATTTCTATTTTGAAACCTAACTTTTTGGGTGAAAAAATAATGTGAAATGTTTTCAAGGTCTTGTAATTCAGAGAACAGAACATGGAATAAAAATATTCCCAGGAACACATCATTACTCCACCACCCAAAGAGATACATGGCAAATAAATAAGAGGTCCCTTAGTAGGGAATGGACAATGAGATTTAGAAACTGCATTTCATTCTGAATTTGTATCCTGTTCTGTAGAGTACTGTAACTATCCTCCACTGTCCAAAACGCTTTGATTAAAACTTATAATACGTAATGAACACACAGTAATAGTGGTTTTGGAAATGAAGACCAACGGCTATGGCCAAATTTGTGGGGAACGAGATAGAGAGGGGACGACATCTTAAGAAGATTAAATAGTGAATGTTAACCAAAACTCAAGTTAGGAAGAAGGAATAGAGAGTAAAATGATGAGAAAAGAAAGCCCTTTCTATGACTCTCATCTCTTTTCTGAAAAAGCCCTAAAAATATTATAGGCATCTCAGGATCTCTGGATAGGATAAAAGTCAAAGTTATTTTATGTTTAAAAAGTTAAACCTACAGGGGCTGGCCTGGTAGTGTAGTGCTGGAGTTCATGTGCTCTGCTTCAGTGGCCTGGGGTTCACAGGTTCAGACCCAGGGGTGGCCCTGCACTCCACTTGTCAAGCCATGTTGTGGTGGTGTCTCAAGTGTAAAATAGAGGAAGAATGGCATGGAGGTTAGCTCAGGAACAATCTTCCTCATTAAGGAGAAAAATAAACCTACAGGGCTGGTGGACCTGGGAACAACTAAATCACTCCTGTTTTATAAGAATTAAATACTCCTATATGGATTTTAAAGTGAAAAAACCTCAAATCGCAGCTGAGAGAGCAATGAAAATTTGAAAGAAATATTTGATGAATAAATTAAATTTTGACAATGTATTTTCTAGAATAGGAAATTGAATTATTTTTCATTGGAGAAAACAAGCAAAAAGATGATCATTCAAAGATACTTAATATGATTCATCAAGTGACAACTTAAACATCTTTTAGGACAACTGTAATGGCATTTAATATTTTCTGTTTTTCCATTCTCCACTTAACATTTACATATTTTGAAGTTTAACGGAGCTGGATTGTTGAATTCTTTGTTTTTTAGATGTTCAGCATTGCTAAATCCTTGACTTATGGTTTTAAATGACCGCTCGTATCTTATCCCTTGACTTTAACATTAATATGCTGGATTTTCACTTAACTAACTACTTCTATTTTTTTGAAATGTTAGTCTTTGTTGGATTTTTCTTTTTGCTTTTCTTTTAGTAACTGTTTGTTTTGATAAAATTCTCCATATTGAAAGAAAAGTATATGTCAAAAAGTACATAATATCTGTATTATTTGGAATCTTTGTAGACATTGCAGAGGTGCATTCACTCTGTTATGTATTTTATTACTATTTGAGATGGCGCAAAGAGTGAGTTAAAACTGATCATTAATCGTTCATTTGTTGAGACTCAACATACAAATGAAATGTTTCAATTTCAGAAAAAAATATTTCTTTAAATTAGATTCCATTCTTTCAGATTATTTTGGAAAAGATTAATCAGAAAAACAGATATAAAGACAGACTGTAAAATTTAAGGGTGTATTTATGCTAAATTTCACAATTAATGAAGGTTGCAGAACTCTGATTATGCTTATACTTAACTGAACATTAATCCATAAGCAAAGATTGAGAACAACAATCCAAGTTTATGGGAACAACCTTCCTAGTACAGATTGGCTCACACAGAGGAAACAAGCAGATGTTGAGTAACATGTGCAAAGTAATCTAGACCTGTCCCGGGCAGAGATAATCCCTTTACTGCACTCAGTGAAGAATTTCCTCCAGTGTCTATGAGAAGAGGGAAGTCAATATACCAACCCATTTTATAGATTTGCAGTCAGTGTATAACATAATATTTAGTTTAATGATATAGTAGAGAGGGTATAGTTCTCATTCCATATTATATAACTTCATTTTATCAACCCTTTCTATTTTCTTCATAGTCTTTCCTTAAAGGACTTCTTCAGGTATTATTTCCAACAGCTCTGTGATGAGAAGAATTTGGGGTTATAGAAATATAGAAATACGTAGGCATAGAGAAAAGACTGTGCTTCAATCTCCGGAGTGTTATAAAACATAACAATTGAGTCAGAATGAGGTGTCACAATTGCAATTCACGTTTAGAGATGACTCAGCAGTAAGTAATTTTGTGTCAAGTCCCAGAATATTGGGTTAAATCACCTTGTATTTCACCTGTCTGGATAAGCACTGTTCCTGGATACCAGGATGGGCTTGAATGTGAATTAGGAAGTCAGATTGTCTCTGTTTAGTAAAGTGGAGAGTGAAGAAGTAGCTGGTCCTTGATATTTGCATGTTTGTACTCACAATGCAACCATCATGGTTATTAACTTTCTATAAATTGGTTAAATATGGAACTTACCGTGGAATCAGAATATTAATATAGTTTATAAAAGTGATGGTAAAATATGATAGCGGTAAAAAGTGGTGAAAACAATCACTTTGTTAGTTATGCTTGGATTATAAAGATAAAAGAAACAGAAAACGTTAAACTACAAAGGTATGATTACATAAAATGAGGGCCAAGGAGAAGAGTTCACTTATCACTGACAGTGGGGATAGGAAATATGAAAAGATTAACATTATTTTGACAGAATTCTGACTTGAATCTTTGGGTTGGAGTTTTCAAGCTAGAAGAGTCTGCTGTTGCAGAGATGCAATGGTATTTTTAGTTTGGACTTGCATTTTGCAGCCAAGAATCTTCTGATACTGAACTGGCAAACAGCCATTGATAATTAATATCTAGGTACTAAATTTTTTCCCTTTTGCATCCTGATTATAGCTTTTAGCTGTTGAACCCACCATGTTAACTGTGCTGTTTAGGCAATATGCTCTCTGACTCCCACTAGGCTCCTATAGATACATCTCCTGGAGCCTGGGTCACCATGGTAATGGGTGTGTGAGCTGTTTTTCAGGATTAGAACTCCTTGTCCACTTCAGGCCAGTTGAGACCACAACTCATTCAACTGGGCCTGTGCAGATGTGCAGATGTCCGATAGGCAACCTTATGATGTCGAGAGGCTAAAAACTCCACACTCAGATACATGTAACTCTGCCATTTGTGTGAGCATGGGTCCTATGAAGAGGCTGAAGTCTGACTACGCTTGTGCAGATCGTCAGTTACTCACCTCTCCTCACCTCCTCCACCTCTTCCACAGTTCAGACCACCTTGCCCCCAATCCATAAATATCCCCTGAGTCCCTATTTTTCAGGAAAGCGAATTTGAGGCTTATGCTCTTGCTTTCTCACATGGCTTCCTTGTGAGTAAACTTTCTCTCTGCTGCAGTCTCGTCATCTCGGTGTTTGACTCTCTGGGCGGTGGGCAAAAATGAACCTGGTTCATAACAATACCCTCTCACTGAAAAAAAGAGAGAAAAAAAGGCTTTTTAAATTATTTCCTAAGATTTTTATTTTTTTAAACCACTTTATTGAGGAATAATTGACATGTAAAAACTGAACATATTTAATCTTATCACTCAATGAGTTTGGGGATAAGCATTTAACTGTAAACTATCATCACTATCAAGGCCATAGATATAAATATACGTCATATACGTCACCTCCAAAATTTCCTCCCATCCCTTAATTACTATTTTTGTAACAAGAACGCTTAAATTCTACTCTCTTAGCAAATTTTAAGTATGCAATTAGTACTGTCAGCTATAGTCATACCTTGTATTGTAGATCACCAGAACTTATTTTATACTAACTGAAACATTGCACACTTTGGTCATCCTGGCTTTCCTCTCCCAATCCCCTGGCAATTGTCATTCTACTCTCTACATCAATGTGTTTGACTATTTGAGGTCTCTTCATGTAAGTGAGATCATACAGCATTTGTCTTCCGTGCTGGCTTATTTCACTCAGCGTAATGTCTTCCAGGTCCATCCATGTTGCTGCAAATCACAGAATTTCTTTCTTTTCTTAAAGCTGATAAATATCTATTATTTGTATATATCATATTTTATTTATTCATCTATCAGTTAATGAACATTTACTTTGTTTCCATATCTGGCTATTGTGAATGATGCTTCAATGACATAGGAGTGCAGATATGTCTTTGAGATACAGGTTTAATTTTC